ATCTCAGCACAAAAGTTTCATGGGAACTGAACTTTAATAGTAGTGATAATTCACTGCCACCAACTTGATTCCATGCCATACTGACTCTACAGAGCAGAGTACAATGCCTTCATAGGGCTTCTGAGGTTGCAACTCTTTACAGGAGCACACAGACTAATTTTCCCCCCACAGAGTGACTGATGGGTGACAACTGCTGACCTTGGGATTAGCAGCTTTATTACCCACCAAAGCTACCAGGGTCCCCTAAAAACCTTGAAGGTAGATTATATTCCCATTTTACAAAGGGGGAAAGTGAATTTGAGAAAAGTTAAAAAAAATAACAAGGGTATATGTTTGTTTCAAAATTCTATTTTAAACTGTCGTATCCGTTATGTGTGCTTTTACAAATGCATTCCCTTTGTAGATGTGTGTGTGTGCATTTGTGTATATCGATAGACATACAAGGAGTGAGTGCTGGATGGCTGTGCAGTTGCTGAAGCCTTCAGCTGCCAACCAAAAAGCAGCTGAAACCCACCAGCCCCTCCTTGGGAGAGAGATGGGACAGTCGGATTTTGTAAAGATTACAGCCTTGGAAACCCTGGGGGGCAGTTGTACGCTATCCTAGAGGGTCAGTATGAAGCAAAATCAACTCGAAGGCTGCGGGTTTGGGAGTTCAAAACTGTTACCTTGGAATACAATATTTCAAGAACAATTTTTATACATTATACACTATAATTTTATAGTCCATAACCCCGGAAAATTACTACCTTGTGACCTTAAACTTACCTCTCTGAAGATAAACAAGTTAAGCAAAACCATGCCGAAATTATAGAGAATGAGCACTAAGCGCATCTGAAAGGGTTCGCGGTCCTTCATCCATTTGGGGCCCAGCCACACAAACAGGAGATAGAGCGTGCTTATACTGAGCGTCGGCCACGGGGACTGCATCAGAGGCCAGTTTTCCACGCGTTTATCTGCAGAGAGAACAAAATTACACAAAAGTTATTACATAGGAAGTGCTTTATGAAATGAAATGGTTGGAATTACCACGTTTGAACCTAATTTTGAATTTTAACCAAACACAGATCACTAGTCTTTGAGTTCTAATAAAGATACACGGCATGAGTAGAGCCACTTGGGAAAATTAATTTTCACTTCGTAAGCTACGCGACATTTTACAGAGCACATATGGAACAAAGATAGAAAATAAAGCTCATTAACAACACAGAAGAGAAGCTTGAGATGAAAAGTGAATGAATGAGTTCACAGATAGAAACACAAACATTTAAGGAGAAACTGCCCTCTGTCCATGCCTGAAGCAGAAAAGAACTATGTAGCAGACAGTTTTATTTGGGGAGTAAGTTGGAGATTATTATAATTCTACAGTCTATGTAAGTTAC